TGGGGTCCATGTTCCAGTCACAACTCTGAATTAATTCTTGTAAGTCGTCTATGAGAGGTTTCGAAAAAAAAAAACCGTGGAGTTCGAGGATCAGTTTAATGAATTGGTCACTTTTACGGATGTTCCGGCTCTTTCGATGGACCATCCAGTGGTTCCAAGCGTCCTTATTCCGGTCACAACTTCGAATTCATTCTGATAAATCGTCTATGAGTGGTTTTGAAAAAACGCGGAGCTGTAGCAGCATTTTCATGAATTGATCATTTTAACGGATGTTCCGGATCTTCCGGCGGACCATCCCGTTATTCCCAGGGTCCATATTAAGCTCATAACTCTGTATTCATTCTGATGAGAAGTTTATGAGTGGATTCGAAAAACCGCGGAGCTCTAGGATCAGTTTAATGAATTGATCACTTTTACGGTTGTTCCGGATCTTCCGGTGGACCATCCATTGGTTCCCAGCGTCCAAATGACGGTCTAAACTTCGAATTCGTTCTGATAAGTCGTCTATGACCAGTTTAATGAATTTACCACATTTACGGAGGTTCCCGATCTTCCACAGGACCAGACTTCTAACCTGCCGGAACCTGAATGTTCCCAAAAGGTGGTCAACTATCTGCTTAACAACTTCTCTAAAGACATCAAGAAGTTATCTCTTCAAATTGCCGTACAATCAGTGTTTGGATCCAATTAGCTCAAAATTCGTTAATGCCGGATCGACCGTATTATAGGAATCCAGTGGCAACCGTACTATAGGAATCTTGACTGTAGTATTAACGAAGCATGTTCCTTTGTCCAAATTGTCCTAGAGCTTAGATCTTCTACAGATACAACGAGGTCTTATACGATGTCTCGTCTAATTTTGAGAACCCAAAAAGCTTCCTGGACCCCCTATAATGTGGAATATGTAGTTGCAATGCCAAAATATTTTGGAATCTCCAAGTTATGCAGAGGTTTGGATCTTTATGTTCTACAGACTCAACGAAGTCTTGTATGATGTCAAGAATTATTATGCCAATCCATAGGACCTCAACACTTCAAGTGAGATAAGAAGTTGTAGTGTAACAGCATATTTTCCATTCTCCAAATTGACCTGGCGTTTAGATCTAGATGTTCTACAAATTCAACGAGGTGACGTACGATGTCTTGACTAAATCTGTGAAGCCAAAATTCTTCGTGGAGCCCCATAATATCATACGGGATAGTTGTAATAACAATATATTTAGGGGTCTCCAAGTTATCCTGAGAATCTGTAAGTTATGCAGCAACTAGGCTATGGATGCTTGACGTAAATCTTCGATGTTATCAGAAGCCAATAACAACAGAAATTCGAGAGCACACACTATGAAAGGGCTGAAACGAAAACTGCAAGTAAGCACTGGATTGGAACCTGGCAGGAAATTGCAGCAGAGGCAGACCCAGGGACTCATGGCACTGTAGCCACAACAAGAAAATGAAGCAATTCGTTAAAATATGTTTGGTTCTTCAAGGCATACGGGAGTCATGAGGTTCTAGAGTTCAAACTAAGGTTTGTAATATGTATTTGAGGGACCCGAATTATTTTGTCATTTCAACTTTATATCCCACGGGATATAAGGGGTCCGTGAAGCTCTGCGGGTTCGAAAAATTTGGATATCATACAATATCTCATTGACTCTGTAGAATCTTAAGATCTGAGCTATATGATGATTTGGAAAATCTAACATTTTTTTTCTAAAACACCTGGGACAAAGATGATGTGATAAGGTCCCAAGTAGCACCATGGATTCAACCGATAAGTCAGGACATCATACAAAATATTGGTTGAGTCTGTAGAACTTCAAGATCCGATCATCAGGATGATTTAGAGGACTCGAGTTATTTTGTCATTTCAACTTTATATATACTACATGGTATAAGGGGGCTCAACGAGGCTCTATGGATGCCAAAATTTAGCCAGGACATCGTACAATATCTTGTTGAGTCAGTAGGACATCAAGATCGGAACTCCAGGATGATTTGGGGAATCTTAGATATATTTTTTATAACAAAATATATCTCCCCTGATGTAATGAGCTCTTGCAAAGCTTTCTGGAGTCGTACATTTTGTCGGGACATCAAGAAAAACATTATTGCATATGTAGAACTTCAAGATCAATTTTTCAGGATGGTTTGAAGATCTTATTGTGCCACGTATTTGCTGTTTTTGAATTCATCCGCTTTACGCTTTTGGGCTTTACGAGGATTTTTGAAAACATATCTTTGGAGAACATTTCTTTTGAGTGTCAGTTTGATCCGATAAAGGCACACCTTCGGCACAATCTCGTGAGCATTAGGTTGCTGTAAATAAAATGGGAGCACTGCTGGATAACTGTCATTGAAGCTGTTCACAACATTACGTGCTGTTTGACAGTATAGTCAGGAAAATCCTCTAATTGAATGTACCAGAGGAACTCAGACCAGCAGTTTTCTTATAGATCTAAATACGAAATGTAGGTTCTAGAGTGGGCTCAAGAGAAAGAGACTGTTATTCAGATCCCATTAGCACCCTTGGTTCAAATAATGATGCAACTCACACAAAACAAACTACAGCAGTCTAATCATCATCCTTTATAGTCGGTCTCCAACAATGTTCACACACCCGCCACTTCCCGCGTCATCCTCAATCCGATTTATCCTTGCGATTTCATACCAAAACAGTCAAGGTGTCAGAAATACCGGGTTTCCGGGATGGGTATTGCACGAACAATCGCAGCTTGTTCTATGACCGGCACAATCGACACACCTGCAGCACACTGACAAAAAAGATGACCCAAGATTGGTGTGCGGAGTGACCTACCCCTTGGACTGTATGTTTGTATGGCTAATCACAACCCCTTGCTACCCACTGCTCTTTCGTTCTTCTATATTGAGGTCACCAACAGCAATGGAAATTTTGACAAATTTGGTAATGATCTGGATGTCCAAGATAACGTTGAAATTTGTAATGGAAAATGGAACGGGAAGTACAAAACTATTCATTTGCTTCCCAAAAATTAAAAAAAAATTGTTCAATTTGAACCAAACCTGACACTCAGATTGGGAAAACAACGCAGAACAACTTTGTATAAGATCGCAAATTGGTTTGACATCTGTGCGAAAAATTACTAACCTTATACTGCCTAAAGCTCCGCGCATACCTACAGGCGTTAGGGGTGGTCATTGGCATAATGGCCATCTTGAATTTCCAAAACCGACCATATGCAATATGATTATTACCTTGAAAAAACTCCCTGCGAAAAATGTAGCCTCAACCGGACATGATTTAGGGCGGCGCATTTTGTATCAAAGTTTAAGTTGATGCCAAATGACTAAACAAATTGTCCAAAATCGACTTTCTGCTAAAGTTTTTAGTAAGACTCTTCACTAAATAAGCAGAGAATCGATCAATAATTCAGATCGACACCATTGTCTTTTATTTTATCTTTAAATACCCAGCCTCATTCCGACCTTAACATGTAGTTCAATTATCTAAAAATAAAACAACATTCACAGTGAATCTTACGCACTTTCCAAACCCGTTTCGATCCTAGTTTGTGTATAGTTTTGCTGCACAACAAATTTCAATTAAATTATCAAATTTCTGACCCTCAAATGCGTTGGTGAGGCTGAACAAAACTCAACAGATAATAATCAAAGGCTGATTCATCACCACTCACACCTACCGTCGTGATGCAACCTTCCTAACACGACAAAGTTTGCAGTACAATTTCAACATTCCAAACACTTTCTTGCTGCCAATGTAACTTCCCCCCAATGTTCCATTCCCGTAGTCGACTAACTTCCACAGTCGTACCACATCGTGTGTATCGCAATCAAACGAATTGATCTGAATTCAACAATTGATTTCAATTAATTGTTTTCAAATGCCGAACCACCACAGCTGCTCCACATATTTTAATATATCAGAGAACAAACTCAATCGACGACGAATTCGAAGCACAACAAACCACCGCACCGTGAGCATCATACACTGGGCCTCTAGGCTGTGCTCCGACGTTATCACTGCGATACGATAAAATATAGTGTACCCTCTCCCTTCGTGGCGTCACGATACTCCACCAAGACTAAACTTTGTAAGCTGCTTTGTAGCTATTGCCCTGTCTAGCATAATGGATATGGTATGCGTCAGAGTACAGATTGTTGACTTTGGCGCGCGCTGATTCACAGCACTTTTCGGCGTCTTTAGTGATTTCTCACTTCTCGCGTCCCGTTTCACTAAGGTGACACATACCAAACCAGCACAGTGTGTGATCAAGATTTGCGTCACCGGTCTTGTACCAAGTTATATCGTCTTCTGAAAACAGCTGATTTTAACGCAAAAATCTCCGCGCTTTCCAGAAACTGCAAACGACGCAAACGGCGAAAACGACGACAACGACGACGACTCTGTTCTAGAACAACACACCGAAACACCCGGAGAGAATGATCCAGACTGAATGGGAAGACGCGGTCGCGTGTACGTATAAAACTAAAACACGACGACCGGGCGCACGCGGCGCATTCCCCGTGCATGTCCCATCAGCAAAAACCCAATAGCGCTCCTAGTATATATGAGCTGCTGCTGCTGCTGTCGCTGGGTAATCTGACTATGGCCAACCTCGCTGACGGCCGGCGCTCTCCTACGAGCGCTCTCTAACAAATGCGCGTTCTCTCCACACACAAAAAAAAAAACAGTCACGACCAAGATGCTCCCTCTTTTGCCATGGAAGTATGGTAGCATAGTTCCCCCTAATAAAGAATTACATTACAACCAGACAGAAAGAAATGCAATAGAAGAGCAGACTACGACCGGCGTCGCTTCCGAAATGTGTTCCCCCGTCGAGAGATGCTCTGAATGGAAGCATTTGATCCAAACAATCAAAGAGTATTAGAAAGAGAACCGGAGTACGAGAGAGTTGGTAAACATATGGAAATCACTGTGGGTGAAAGTTTCGCTTCAAATAGGCAAATTTTTAGCAAAATTTAAATAAATATACTCACCCTCAGCCGATAGTGGAGATGGCTTTCAGAATTTGTCCTTTTATTCCTTTGGTTTTCTTGTGATGCAGCTTCTTGAACCGATGGCCTTGCAAGTTATGGCTGCAAGTCATTTTTCCTCCTCCTCCTGCTCCAATTGTATCTGTCTCCTCCTCCTCTTGCTCATCGTCGGAATACCAGCACTCGACCAGCTCCGCCGGGTTGATATCCAGCAATTCTTCATCCTCGAGCTGACTTCGATCGTCAATAGTACTGCCAACTGGAACGGGGCTCGGAATTTCCCAGGCAGAATCATTGAAGCAACCACCTCCCGCCTCGGGCGGTTTCAGTTGCATATTGCCCGCTTCGCCGAACAGCCACTTGGCCATCAGAAAGGCCGATTTTGTGTTCTGCTTTTGCCACGGTTTTTTCGACATATCTCATAACAAATTCACAATGTCACAATAAATTAACTTCTTGACGGTTCATCAGACAACTTATACACGACCAAAAAGCTTCGAAACATTAAAAATTAAATGAAAAATTGAAAACTAAAATTAAAATTAAAAAAAAAATCATTGAACTAATTTCATAACAACACCACGAAAGGAAAACAACACGGCGAATGAGAAGGACTCAAATTTGAGTTTAGTTCACTCATAATCGCCAAAAGTGCAGGAACTCAGCGATGAGTAAAATTTGTCTCATGGTTTCCTGTGAAAAACCTAAAAAATCTGCCGGAAAATGAGAAAATTGACAAAAAATTTATTCAGTCTCGGAGTAGTACCAATAGACTGAGTGAATCCAATCTTTACTTTTCTCAAATTCGGGAATTTTTCCAGGGAAAATCCTGGAAAAACCTGGGAAAACATGAGGCAAATTAACTCGACAGTGAGCATGCATAAGGGCCTATACGCGATGATCGATTCTCTTCGTCGATTTTCTCTTTTGTTAATAACTCGCTAGATTTAACGTTTCTCGGTGCGTTTGCTGTTGCTTTTGATAACCAATACAACCTGTTACTACTCTGCATTGAACAATTCTAAAATTGTTTCGCTTAGCTGTAGCAATGCAAAGAGAAAATCGATTAAGAGAATCGATCATCGCGTATTCGCCCTTATGCATGCTCACTGTCGAACTCATCGCTGCCCACATACAGCGGGCTAGTCGCCCACGGCTCGCCCCCGGACCGCTCGGCGGACGGGGCGGACTTGGGCGACTCGAACCTCGCGGCGCCGCTTGGTCCAAATTTGGTCGCCGGCGCGCCGGGGGCGACCATATTTGCAACATTTGGGCGCCTGAGGCGAAAACGATACCTGTCAAAAAACTGATCGTTTCGGCCATTTTGTCCGCCCCCAGGCGCCCCGGCGCGCTTCCGGTTGTTCCCCACCATTTTCTTTTTAAATTGATTTTAAATTAATAAAAATAAAAACTGTTGAAGCATGAACATGACTTCATCAATAATCTTTATTTATCTTATTCTTATAACTAACATATGTTTTTTTTTTATGAAATAGATCTTAACCTAACAATAATATCTTACAAACTAACCCCATCATGTAACACATCAAAATACACAGGAATTCAAAGACTAGTTCAATGGAACTCAAATCTAGTTCCAAGAACCACTTTGGCCACGTCAGGATACATTCCGGGTGTTCCGGGGGAAGAGGCCAACATCTGATTAGGGCAAACAAATCATGCGACACATCAAAATACATGAGAATTCAATTTCTGGTTTATTAGAACTCAAATCTAGTTCCAAGAACCACTTTGGCCACATCCCGACATATTCCGGGTGTCCCGGGGGAAGAGGCCAACATCTGATTAGGGTCAAACCCACCATGCGACACATCAAATTACATGAGAATTCAAAGACTAGTTCAATGGAACTCAAATTTAGTTCCTAGAACCACTTTGGCCACATCCGGACATATTCCGGGTGTCCCGGTGCAAGAAGCCATCATCTGATTAAGGTCAAACCCATCATGCGACACATCAAATTACATGAGAATTCAATTTCTGTTTCAATGGAACTCAAATTTAGTTCCTAGAACCACTTTGGCCACATCCAAATAGACAAATACCAACAATATGGGTATTTTTGGAATCGGGGTGACGTAAAAAGGTTCCTGAGCCATTTTGAAATCGAAGATGGTCGCTTCCGGTTTCAGAAAATAGGGAAATACTGTCAAATATCTATCAAAATGGGTATTTTTAAAATCGGGGTGATGTCTAGAGGAAATTGATATCCGACGTCATTTTGAAATCAAATATGCTTCCAGTTTTAGAAAAATAGGGAAATACGTCAAATATCCATCAATATGGATATTTCTGGAATCAGGGTGACGCCGAGGTCGAGGTTTGAAATGAAAGATAGTGGCTTCCGGTATCAGAAAAAGTGCGAAATACTATAAAATGCCCGTCAATATGGGTATTTTTGGAATTGCAGTGAGGTCTAGAGGTCAAAAATCGATATCCGGCTACATTTTAAAATACAAAATGGTCACTTCCGATTATGAAATGTGGGAAATACTGTACAATACCCATCAATATGAGTATTTTTTTAATCAGGGTTATCTCTAGAGACCGAAATCGATAACGAAAGCCATTTTGAAATCCAAGTTTGTGGCTTCCGGTTTAAGAAAAAGTATCAAATACCCATCATGGGTATTTTTACATCCAACACATTAAACATTTTCGAACAAAATTTTGCTATTGTAATGTTGTTTTGACATCAAGAATTTAAATCGTGTGACATTAGAATCAAACGATTTTGGGATGTTTTTATATGTACAAACAAATTTTTTTCTCGGATGTTTTCAATTGTACCTACAGCTTAGGGGCTGTTCATAAACTACGTAGACAGTATTGGGGGGGGGGGGGGGTTGGCAATTGTTCACGGTCCATACAAATTTCAAAAATTTTGTATGGACAATTGTCTACGCAGGGGGAGGGGGGGGTCAAAAATCTCAAAAAAACTGTCTACGTAGTTTATGAACAGGCCCTTATAGTTCTCTGATGTTTTCAAATGTATGAAACAGTTCTAACGTTCTATGTACTAAACGTTGTTCAGATGTTTTCAAATATGGATGCTTTCTAATGTATTCAGTTGTACAAAATATTAGAATCAGTCATTTTTCAGATGCTTTCAATTGTACCCAAATTTTATTGTTTTCTGAAGTTTTCAACTGTGCAAAACAACAGAATCTAACTTTTTCAAATGCTTTCAACCATACAACACATTAGAATTACAAACATGATTTTGTAAACAGTACACACCATTGTTGTTAGATAACGTTATAGAAATGCATACATAATAGTCATTACTAAAGCTCCCGTTCCCCACCAGTCAGTTAACTGACCTTAGCTAACCTAATATCATTGTAGCAACTCTCTATGCGGCATTGGAACCATGCCATCAGCGCGCTAAGAGTTATTAGACTACTGACATAGGCGCCAATTCGTGGATGACGAGGCACTAGGTGACGTTACAGCGAGCTTGACGATTGTTGTATCATTTTTGAACGAACTACCAGACAATGATGCCTAGTGTTTACATGATCAAGTTTCCAAATTTACAGGGCCACCCACATTAGATCCGGATCTGACGCAATGCGGTAAAGCGGCAGCTAAATATATTGTCTAACTGTAAAATTTACGTCAATGCAACGCAAGAGGATCTAATGAGGGTTACCCTTAAGGTCTGTGGCAGAGTGAAAACTAGGGGTCGCGTGAAATTTTAGTGAAATACCCCAATCATTTATATACTTTATCAAAACACAAATGCTCCGTCCATGTGTCGAACCACAAAGGAAACTCGTCTGTTGGTGGTGATTGATGACTTCCTTGGTTGCTTTGGTGGTGTCATGCCTTCCTTCGAAAAGAAGCACAGCCATGGGTCCTGGCCATTGAGTTGATGAGTCCAGGTATTCAGTTGCCTCCCTGGCGTTAGTGGTTGCCACTCGGTTGCAGAACATAGACCGATAGAAAATAAACAAGAAAATAAAGCCGAATTGAAGATTTATCCAAGGATTTTGAAGTAAATATTTAGATGAGCGGTTGAAAAAGGGGAAATAAGTAAAACACAGCTTTTAAAGTCTAATGAGCTAAGACTAGAGAATGTTAGAGAAACTGTGAAAGACTATCAAAGCAAACTATGTACCTAGATCCAAATCTTTTCAGAAAACTTATCAATACGCATAGTTTGAACCGATGTATAAACATCATGCAGACATTGTTGACTTTGAAATGTCTATGAGCCAGGGCCGAACCTAATGACTCCAGGACAGCGGCATAACGGTACAGCGGTAAATGTACATTTACAGGAAAGTTCGAATAACTGCTAGAACAGGGTAGTTCTATAAACATCAGAAAATTGCGGGATTTAATTTAATTTAAGTTAATAATTATTCTGAAGACCTACTGCTGAACAGAAATTAAAACGATGTCCTTTTGATATTCTTTTAATAGGCCAAATTGATCAGGTATTATTCTGAGAACCTAAAACTGATCAATAATTCAATTGAAACTTTTCGGATATTACTACAAGAGATCATAATAAGCAGGAATTTTTTCGAAGACCTAGAACTGATCAGAAATTCAAATAAAGTAGTTTCGAAAATATTCGAAGTGGTCAGGTGGATAAGGATTAGATATTAAAATCTTGAGATATTCTTCGAAGAGGTCAGGAATTATTCTGAGGACCAACATCTGATCAAAAATCGAATTGAAGTCGTTTGAAAATTGCTTCAGAACGCAGAATAATCTGAAATTGGTTTGAAGATGTTACACAGAAAAAAAAGTTGTTGAATATTACATCCAAACTGCTGCAACCAGGTCAATCCATCGGTTGTGTAATATAACGTTGTACGATGTACATCGATTTTGCGAACTAAATTACATCCATTGATGTAATATTGTATCTGCTTTTTGCTATTACATCATTATTTCATACTTCAGCTCGAATTACATTGATCGATATTACATTTTTTTGCTGTGTACTACACCGAAGGTCGTAGATCTTCAGAGAAATTAGCAGAACTTTAGGGAAATTAAAAAAAAACTTCATGGAAGTTTAAAAAACTTCAGGGAAGCTTAAAAAACTTCAGGGAAGTTTTAAAAAACTTCAGGTAAGTTAAAAAAAACTTCAGGGAAGTTCAAATATCTTCAGGTAAGTTCTGAAATCTTTAGATAAATCAAAAGAAAATCAGGGAAGTTCGTAGAACTTCTGAGTAATTTACAGAACTACAGCAATGTTTGTCGTCGTTTAGAGAAATAATCAGTACTTTAGGGATGTTCACAGATCTTCAGGGAAGTTTGAAGATCTTCAGAGAAATTAACAGAACCACAGTGATGTTCGTAAATTTATGATAATTTTTTAGTTCCTTAGGGAAATTAATAGAACAGA